AGAGCGGTTGCAGACATTTGTAACTTCTATCTTCTGGTGTCATTCACTTCCAGCTATTTTAACTGTACAAAAATGGCTTTTTATGCTGCTTGATATTGCAAACTGGTATTTGTTATTGTTATTTTATTACTATAAACAAAACACATTGGTTTGTAGAGTAAATAGTTTTACTGTTTACTGCACTTTGTTATTCCTCTAGTTATTCACCTATATTGGCTAATGAATCTGAAGTCTTGCACATTCACAGAAGATATCTTACTTCCACATTGCAGAATGAGGTGGATATCAGCCGCTTACCTTCACAGGAATATGTAACTGGTCCTGATTCCAGCGTGGAGGCAGGCTAGCCATAAGACTGTGGAGTGAAGGGGTGTCATCGCGATGCTGAGGCCTCACCTGAGGGAACCAAGCCTTTAACATCATCTCCAGCTGCAGAAGAGTGCCCATATACTTCTCCCTATGGAGGAATAACAGAAAAATAGGATTTATTAAATGGCATTATATAAATAATATATATAAATGTATCAATGGTGAAAGTTTAATAGAATAAAATGAAATACCCAAGGTTGGGTTTTTGTAGAACACCAACAATCCTTCGCAGTCGATCCATGGCAACACTCTGTTGAAATGTGCTCAAACCTGCCGAAAAGAAACAAATTAAGAATAATTAAAAAATAAATAAATGAAAACACAATTATATGTTATGGGTGGAAGCTACTAACTACTAAGTTTGGGGTCGAAAATATATATATATTTTTTTACATTTTTAAAAGAAGACATAAAATTGAAAAATAACTAAAAAGTGATAATAAAAAAAACATTGACAACATGTGGAAAAACACAAAGCGATACTGATGAACTCCACACATTCAATAGTATCAGATTGTAATAAAAACTTAATTTCCTACTTTGTCAATCAATTTTTATCGTAATTTTGACATCATGGGGTTGATATTTAATAGCAGACTGAGAGAAAAAACAAAGGGATCATTCAGCTCCACATGACGTAAACACACATCAAGCGCGATGATAAACACGTGAAGCATTTCTGGAGTATAACAGATCATTTTTAATAATTTTTAAACATAAAACATACCCTTACCTTAATGGTGGTTCGTTTCTGTGTCGGTACCACAACAACCTGCTGTCCAGCGCCACTGACACAACCT